GTCCCTGAGTTGTCTTTCCTCACCTGTAACCCTGGTGAGACTGGTAATCAACTCCATGGTAGAATCTACTGTGAGCAACTGAGTAGCTGCCTTTGGGTATGTGGTCTGCTTCTTGTATATAGGTAGCAGCTTTGGGAATGGTCTCTAGCTTATGGCACGCTTGGCACCCTGCATGTAGCCGTGTCTTTATTCAGCAGCCTGCCGTACTCTGCTGACCTTGGGACTTTGAATGGACTTGAATTATTAGCCTGCCATGTGGTTTGGTAACATCAGAACTATGCCTTTTCATTTGTCAACCTTGGGCTTGTCAGCCTTAGCAGCTAGCAGCTGTCTGAGTGAAGAAAATCCTCTAGCTTCAATGGGCTGAGAGCAGGAGGCAGAGCTGAAGCCCAAGAATGAGTGGCTTTCACCCAGCCCCTAGAGTCTGGCACTTTGAACTCAGACTTAAAACCTCCTAACTGTAAAATAATAAACTCCTGTTTCTTCAAGCCATCCCATTTGTGTCCTATTCCTGTCAGAGCAGCACTAGGTAACTAAAACAGTCAACTTGGCCTTGTTGAATGGCTGGGCAGCTAGATGTAGTTATTCTCCATGGTGAGACTGGTAGTTTACTCCATGGCAGAATGCTCTAATGGAACAGCTGAGTAGCTGCTTTAGGGATGTGAGCTATTTCCAGTATATAAGAAGCAACTTTGTGGAAGTTCTCCTGCTAATGGCACACTTTAACCCTACATTTAGCCAAGTTGTTGTTCAGCAGCCTGCCATGTTGCCCTGCCAGTTTTAGAACTTGTCATGGACTTGAATTGATGGCCTGTCATGTGGTTTGGTTAATATCGGGACTGTGCCTTTTCACCTGTCAACCTTGAGTTTGTCACCCTCAGCAGCTAGCAGCTGTCTGAGTGAAGAAATACCTCTAGCTTCAGTGGGCTAGGAGCAAGAGGCAGAGCTGAAGCCCAAGGTTGAGGGGCTTTTCACACAGCCCCTAAAGCCTGGCACCTGGAACTTGGACTTCTAACCTCCAAAACTGTAAGAGAATAAACTCCTGTTTGTTCAAGACATTTCCATTTGTGGTATATTTTCTGTTAGAGTGGCACTAGGTAACCAAAACATAAAGCATATGTTTAAAGTGTATGTTTCATTATGGTTGAATCAAATCTGTATGATTTTTTCTTCTTATGATATTTAGGAATGGAACAGAGATGCTACAACAAATGCTCAAAAATGGGCAAACAAGTGCACTTTAGAACACAGTAATCCAGAAGACCGAAAAACCAGTATGTAAACAAGTACATATTTGTTAAATAAATAAACACATAAAACAATAATGGACATTCTATGATGTTGTATTAAGAAGAATTTGTGAATAATGTTGCTTATGCTGCTGTTTTTATATATGGAGAGGTAATTGTAAGAGAACCATTTTGGTCTTATTGATTAGATTTTACAAATAATTTTATATTTCATTTGTCCCTCTCAACAAGCTCATGAGTACAGCATGTCATATATCATCTTCTTTCAACTTTAAAAATTAGAAAACTGGCACCTGGGAAGAAAATAACTTATCCAAGAACAGAACAAGAAAGTAGTGTCATACATTGGAAATTTGAAACAAGGCTTTCTGACTTCTAACCCTCTGCCTTTTTTGGGATATTATGTAGACTTTTTGTGTTTTGAAATCAGGTGTTATTTATTATTATCATCCATAAAATATGTTGAATTTGCTCTAAAATTGTTTAACATTTTTAAAATCAAGATGAACATTTTGAGTGTGTTCATTTTATTTTGTACTCTCTTGTTTTTAAAATTGGTGGCATCAAACGGCTAAGTATTTTTTATATACTGGATGCCTAGAATAGAAGATACATAACACTGTAAACGTAAAAGCTACCATCAATCAACAAAAACCATAAGAGAAAAAAAAAAAACTTTTAAGCATGAATTATTACAGTAATACCTGTGAAAGCTAGAACCAGTGTAAAGTAGCAACCTGTCAGAGAAGGAAAACTCAAATGTTCTTTACTAAATATAAATAGAGTACACTGGAAAAGTGGTGACTTCAGCCTGTGAAGTGTCTTACAAGGTGGAAAATTTGTAAGACCTGGAAAAATAAGGCTGTCACATTGAGTTCTGCTCTCCCAGTTTTTGTTGTACATAAAAATTTACTTATATTATCAGGAGTGATATGCATGTGAGCAAGCCCAACTTTGAACCAGTGAATATTTTTTTTTAATAATTGCCATTGTTTTTTTAATATGTTTTATGCTCTTTTTATAATGAAATTATGAGGGATGACTGCAGTTAGTAGAAGATTAAAATGAAAGGCCTTGAATATTCGAGTCCATTGTTAGGTTCTTAGTTTCTTTCTTTTCCTCTTAAAGAAGGTAGCCAAGAGAGGTATATACTTTGTTTAAGCAGCATTAGACATTACATTTCAAGCCACCCAGACACAAATATCAGAAGCAGGACTTGAAAAAAATAGGGAAATATTTTAGGCCAGCAAGGAACTTCTTGCCTAGTTCTCAAATAATGGTTTGGCCTTAGGACATTTTGATTTGTTAATTAAGGAGCTCTGGTAGCCTAGTGCCTAAGGCACTTGACTGCTAATCAGAAGGCTGGTGTTTCAAACCCACCAGCCTCTCCTCCGAAGGAAGGTTGGACAATCGACTTCCGTAGTGATATCACCCCGGAAATCCAAGGAGAGGTCGCTATGAGTTGGGTCTGACTCGATGGCACATTACAACAACAACAACATAAGCTTGGAAAATTTGCCTTGTATCATTTGCCTCTTATTTGAGGTTCTTATAAACAGACCCAGGTTTTTTCCAAAGTTCACAAAAAATCATTAACATAAACATTTAGTCAGTTTTGTACATTTGGAAAATCTCTGGTGAGAGTGGATGAGAGGAGGAGAGAAAGTACAAGAGTGGGTGTCTGCCTTCAGGAGGCTTACAGTTAGAAGCTAAGAGTGCAGGAGGGCTGCAGAAGTGAATGATTTAACATGTATATGAGCTCTGGTAGCACAGTGGCTAAGACACTTGCCTGCTAACCAGACGGCTGGTGGTTCAAACCCACCAGCCACTCCTCGGAAGGAAGGTTGGGCAATCCTACTTCCGTAGTGATACTGCCTCGGAAACCCAAGGAGGGGTCTCTATGAGTCGGGTTTGACTCGACGGCACATAACAACAACAACAACAATGAATACACCTTTGACAGTCCTCAAAAAGATTCACTGCCAGTGAGTCAATTCCAACTCCTCTTTGGGTTTCCAAGGCGGTATTTCTATGGAACTATATTGCCCAATCTTTCTTCCAAAGAGTGACTGGTGGGTTTGAACGGCCAGCCTTCTGATATCTTAGGCCCTACACCACCAGAACTCCCTTTGACATTGAATTCTTAAAGCAAACAGAATGTTGTGATCTGCTCAAAGCTTTTTATGTTGGGTCCAGCTTTCACTATCAAAGTGTTAGGCACAACTGGCTCCTATCTAGCTTTATTGTTGATAAGGAACTGAGATAGCTTCCTTAGGTACTAATCAACAGCAAACACAGGCACTGTTAGAAGGGCAGAGATTTTTCTTTTTGTTTATATAGGTTGATTTGCCACTGCATGCTTTTTACTTTCTTTATGAATATATATATATTTTTTTTTTAGGTACAAAATGTGGTGAGAATATCTATATGTCAAGTGACCCCACTTCCTGGTCAAATGCAATCCAAAGTTGGTATGATGAGAGTCATGATTTTGTCTATGGTGTAGGGCCAAAGAGCCCCAATGTAGCTGTTGGACATTATACCCAGGTAAAAATGAATGAAAATGCCTCTTCCACAAATGCGTGGCATAGAAACCTCCTCTAAATTCTGACTGATCACAATGGTCAACTTAGAAAAGAGCTCAATTGGTATAGATAAAGTGTTATTCTGGCCATTTGAATGACACTTTACCTATGAGCTGTCATTTTTATCAATAGTCTGAAAAACTCTTAGATGGGAAGCATATTTTGTAATTTTTTAGCAGTTTAAGTTGATAAAGTAGTGAATGCACATGAAAATCTTAAAAGTTTATGACTGAGTCAACAATTTAAATGCCATCATAACCTGTACAGCAATTAACTACATCAAAAAAAAAAAAGCTAACTTGTACGTAACCTGTATAGAGATAAACTACATCAAAATAAATAAATAAATAACCTTTTTGTTTTGCATTTGTACTTTACAAAATATTTTTCCACTTCCTTAATACTCTGTCATATCTTTTCTATTGATGTGCAGGTTGTCTGGTACTCATCTTTCCGCATTGGATGTGGAATTGCCTTCTGTCCCAATCAAGAGCACTTAAAATATTTCTATGTTTGCCATTATTGTCCTGCGTAAGTATACACTTTAGCATTTAATACCAAGGATAATGTCAGTTTGTAATTCAGCATGTAAAATTTCTCTTAAACAAGAGTAATTAGGATATTTCAGTTAAGGAGAAACTGTTGTGAATATTTTCTAAGTTGAGACACATTCAACTTCTAAGAAAGAAGATCAGCTTCTCAGTTCCAAGTGTAAAATTCCGAACCTCTCTTTTTTCATGTCTAGGAATATTAATATTCTCTCTTCATTGCCTGTCCTTAGCCTCAGGATTATTCCACAAGTGTATGTAGGAGCTCTGGTGGCATAGTGCCTAAGGCATTGGACTGCTAACCAGAAGGCGGGTGGCTCAAACCCACCAGCCACTCCTTGGAAGGAAGATTAGGCAATCTACTTCTGTAGAGATACTGCCTCATGAACCAAAAGAGGGGTCGCTATGAGTCCAATCACTCGATGGCAGTGAGGTTTGTTTGTTTGTTTTTTTTAATGTAGTTTTCGTCTCTCTAGATTTGATATTAATAGTTCTTGCTACTTCACACTTCTAGAGTGTGATAGTTCTAGATTGTTTAATGGTTAGGCCAGGCTAGAGGGTCGGGTAACAAACAGGAAATGACATACTATAGTGATCCCACCCCTTCATGTTCACTTATTTCTACTGCTTATCTAAAACTGCTCACATTATTGTCATCATATATTATTAAATCTTGGACCTCAAAGGCTTCAAAAGATCTTTAATATATTTCAAATAGCCCTGAGAGAAGCAACATTAAGTCTTGCGTCTGAAAATCTTTTATAGAAAACTCCATAGTGAACAATTCCTTAGGACAGGGTTTTATACCTGGAAAAACTGCCTCCTTCAAGCAATATATTTAAAATTATCCACAGTAAAGCCTGTGTTTATCTTAAAGATATGTGTGTATATGTTTAATTTCTTTTAAAGTTTTAAATTTCTTACCATAGGAGGCAGATAGGACCTCCAAAACCAAGCTTTCTATATGATTTATTTTGAAGTTGTATATAATCTAGAGGATATGGGTATCTAGTTGGAGAAGTGTGACATTCAAAGTCATTTTTTAGCCAGCATCTAGGAGTTCAGTAGAGAGAATTGAGATTCTAGGAGAAAGTATACAAACTTAGTACCTGAAAGTAAGAGGGGGAACATCTGGAGCCAGTAGTTGACATGAGAGTTAGAATAAATAATGAAAGAACTTCTAGAATACTTTTACATGTACAATTTATAAAGCCACACACATACAAGCTACATTCTGTGCAGGGAAACAGATTAAGATGTATTGCTTTGAGCACTTGGTCCACTAAGCATTACTGAGATTTGACCCCCTTGTTCTTATAGATGAAAATGGCCAATAGGATAATGATTATCAGTGCAGTTCCTATTAATCACTTTAATACCAGTTCACCCTGGAGACTGGTGCTAATCAAGTTTATTTTATTTATTTACATTTTTTAACTAAAATTCCTTTTTTATATATACAAAATAATCTCCCATACACTTCACTAGAATCTCAAAAATTACCCTAAAAAGAATAGAAGGGCTGTGTATCCTAGGGAGATAGCTCATGGGGGCCGGAGTGCATGGGAGAGAAGGATACAGGAAAGAGGCAACTATGGGGAGGAAGTGGGAGGGGAATTGTTGCATTGTGGAAAATTGGACTCAAAGTCATGAGACAAAGTATATGTGAACTGATGTATGGTAAATGAATTTTCTCTGTAAACTTTCACCCAAATCACAATTGAAATTAAAAAAAAAAAAAAAAAATCACCCTAAGTACTTTCCCTCATCCACCCAACCCACCATCAAAAAATTACTACCTCACCTGCACTCATTCACTTCTCATTGATTCTGAGTCACAGCAACCCTATAGGACAGAGTAGAATACCCCACAGCGTTTCCAAGGTTGTGAGCTTTAAGGAGGAATACTGCCACATCTTCCTTGCAGCAGCTGGTGTGTTCAAATTGCAGTCGTTTGGTTAGTAGCTCAGCACTTAAGCACTGCACCACCAACTTTCCTTTACTACCCCATCTAGAAGCAAAAAAATAGAGAACTTTACTTTCTCTGGTATAAAGTACAGAAATTATAGTAGTTTTCATTTTCCAAATATAAAATTATACTGTAACATTAAGTATTATATTCTATATTGCAACCTATCTCTAAGAGCTTCTCCTACCTCACTAGGGTGTATGTTTCACCCCTAGTCAGCTCCTTAGGGTGCTATAGCAACTTGACAATCTGCTGGGCATTGCCATGTTGAAATATACAGTTGTTATTGTTATTTTGTTACATTATGTGCCATCAAGTCAGACCTGACTCATAGAGACCCCTCTTTGGGTTTCTGAGGCAGTATCACTACAGAAGTAGATTGCCCAACCTTCCTTCCGAGGAGTGGCTGGTTGGTTTGAACCGCCAGTCTTCTGGTTAGCAGTCAAGTGCCTTAGGTACTACACTAGCAGAGCTCCTGAAATATACAGTTAGCTCTCCATATCCATGGTCCCATATCCCCCGATTCAAGCAACCACAGATTGAAAATATGTACAGACACAAAAGCAATAATGGTCAAAGGCTAAGAGGGAGCATAAAGTGCTAATTATGTGGCATTTATATTGTATTAGATATTAGAAGTAATCTAGAGATTATTTAATATGTACAAGAGGATATGCGTAGATTATAGGCAAATACTACACTATTTTATACAAGGGACTTGAGCATTCATGGATTTGGGTGTTTGTGGGGGTCTTGGAACCAATCCTCTGTGGATACTGCAGAACTACTGTAGTCTGAAAACAGTAGTCTCTACTTGTCCTATTTCAGTTCTGGAACCTGTGAGTTACAGCAAGACAGTGGGACAATGTGTGAAGTAGTTTCTGACTTTGGATTGTTATCTGAATTACACATAGAGAATTTTACATTTTTAGGTATTTTGACATAATTAAAATATAATTTTAATTTTAAGATTTATGTATATTTGGTGATTGATGTTAATCTTGAGGCATATCTAAGCACACTAAAAAATATTTGACATTTTTATATCAAATTTCAGTGGTAATAATATCAATCAAAAGCATATCCCTTACAAAGAAGGAGCACCGTGTGCCAGCTGCCCTGAAAAATGTGAAAATGGACTGTGCAGTAAGTTTGAGCTGATTAAGTTACTATTAAAATAAAGAGATTCATTGTTTTCTTTCTTGTTTTTTCAAGAATAAGTATCTAAAGGTAACTAATTTAAGTCATAGCTTTATGACAAAAGAAAATATTATTCAACAGAATGTGTGTTTAAGTAAATATTTTATACACTTTAGTAAACTACATACTAATTATAATGAAAAGTATACTGCTATATTCAACATAGTGAAACATCTACTAACAATGTGTTTTAGTGACAATGCTGATCCCATTAGCATTATATATTCCCCCATTCCAGGTGAAATAGTTTACTTGATCAAAATTAATATCACTTTACCAAAGATGTTGTTGTTGTTGTTGTTATGTGCCGTCGAGTCAAACCTGACTCATAGCAACCCCTCCTTGGGTTTCCGAGGCAGTATCACTACAGAAGTAGGATTGCCCAACCTTCCTTCCGAGGAGTGGCTGGTGGGTTTGAACCGCCAGCCGTCTGGTTAGCAGGCAAGTGTCTTAGCCACTATGCTACCAGAGCTCCCAAAGATGGTATTTTGAAAAATGAAAATATATGAAAAAAAGACATGAGAGTGCATTAAGACTCAGTCTCAAAAGGCATAACAAATGTTCCTATTTCTTTTATGTGAATAAGTGCACCATGCTATATTTCTCATTTTTTCCCATAGTGTAATTGGAATCATAGTGCTTCATTTAATAAATGATCACTTATGTGCTTAACTTAATAAATGATCATTTGATATATAACTTGATAGTGTTCGTGAACATTTTTTAATTTGAAAATACCATCTGTATCCAGTGTTAGCTCATAAACCCACCAATTGTTGAAAATAGGAGAATAAAATAAATGTCATATATATCATTTATAATATTATCATGAAGAAAATAAAAGTAGCTGTTGATTTTCTGTAGTTGGGATACCTTTAAAAAAAATCATTATGCACAGTGCAATTAACCCTTTGACTGAGACTTTTACCTTTCAAAAGCATTCACCTTTAGTTAGAATTCTTTCACACTCAAATGTATGGCCATAATTAATAATACTGATGATATCAAAGCTGTAAATCACTGAAGAAAAAAAAAGTAGTTAAATCTCTGTTGCATGCTGTATGATAAGGAGCCTAGAATTTGTTGCATTAGCAATGAGCAGTCAATGGAAAGATTTTAAACAAGAGTGGCAAAGTCAGAATTGAGTTTTATAAAGAACTTTCTGGCAATATTACAAACAATTAGATGGCAACTAATTTTGAATTAATTTTAAGAATGTTCAATGATTTTAGGAAACAAATGACAAGTTTTTTTAATGGGTGTTTTCATTTACTGCATTACTGATGAAATGAATAGAAAGAGTTGGCAGATTTGAGAGCAAGGAAGTAAAATAGCCAGTGTTTATTTCCTGTGCTTGTTGAGTGCAAGTGAGAGGAGGGAAGGAGTTCAGGTTGACATCTTGTTTTATGGTTTGAGTTACTAAGTTGTCAGGAGAGCCATGTCACTTCAATTGGGGAAGGAGTGCAAGAAGACCATACCCAAGAAATGCCAGGCTTTTCCATAGTGGTGTTGTTTTTACTAGGTGCTGTTGAGTTGTCTCCAACTCACAGTAACACTACACACAACACAGAGAAACATTGCCCAGTCCTGCCCAGCTTCACAGTCCCTGCTAAACCTGAGCCCCTCATTGCAGCCACTGTGTCAATTCATCTCATTGAGGGTCTTCCCCTTTCTCACTGACCCTCCACTTTACCAAGTGTGATATTCTGCTCCAGGGAATGGTTCCTTCTGATAACATAACCAAAGTAGGTGAGACGAAGTCTGGCCATTCTGTCTCTTCCAATGAGTATTCTGGCTGCATTTCTTCCTCTGTAGATCTGTTAGTTCTTTTGGAAGTCCATGGGACTTTCATATTTTTCATCAACACAACTCAAAATCATCCATTCTTCTTTGGTCTTCCATATTCATTGTCCAGCTTTTACATGCTTATGAGGCAATTGAAAATACCATGGCTTTAGTCTTCAAAAAGACATCTTTGCTCTTCAGCACTTTAAAAAGAGGTCTTTTGCAGCTGATTTGTCCAGTGTGATACATTGTCTGATTTTTTGACTGCTGCTTCCATTGGGGGAGCTCTGGTGGTGTAGTGCCTAAGGTGTTTGGTTGCTAACCAGAAGGCTAGTGGTTCAAACCCACCAGCCACTCCTCAAAAGGAAGATTGGGCAATCTACTTCTGTAGCGATACCACCTCAGAAACCCAAGGAGGAGTTATTTGAAATCTTTGACCACTTCAGTCTTCCATAGTAGGATAAGTGTAATTTGAAATTTGTTGAGTTTGGAAACCCTGGCAAATTTTCAAGTAGAATCAGGAGTAAAAGGGACATATTCTCCCTGTTGTACCTCTGAATCTTGCAGTAAAGACCACTTACCCCAGAAGAAAAGCCTGGTAGCATCAGAGTCTAGAGCAGGTGCTGTCCAAAAGAACTGCTTAAGACAACTGAAATGTTCTCTATCAATACTGCTTTATAGATATTCAATAGCTACATGTGGACTTTAAATACTTCAAATGTGGCTAGTGAGACTGAAGAAATAAATGTTTAATCTCACTTTTAATTGAAACTAATTTGAATTTAAATAGCTCCTGGTAGCTAGTGACTACCATATTGGGCCATCCAGGCTTTTAATTTCATTCTTTTTACTCTGTTTGTTGAGGGAGGAAAGAAGATCAATTAATTTTAGTGACATATCACCCAGTCCAAAGTAAAAGAGAATTGAATTGATCAGTGAGCTCAACTAAAGCACCTCACATGTCCCTGAAGAACTGAAATAACCAGCATAATGTAGTATTAATTTGTTTATCCAATCCTACCGTTCTTTCTGTTTTTTTTTTTTTTTTTTTTTTTGACCCTTCTATAGTAACTTGCTTAAAGGATTGCCAGGATTGTGTTGTTGTGATTGAGGGAAATGATAATGAAGTGACTTATCTCTTTTTGTTATAGCCAACGGCTGTGAGTATGAAGATCTCCTTAGTAACTGTGCAGACTTGAAGATGAAAGCTGGCTGTGAACATGAGTTGCTCAAGGAAAAATGCCAGGCTACTTGCAAATGTGAAAACAAAATTTACTAAAATGGCCAATGTGCTTTGTACTGTGCTAAGTGAAAAAAAAAAAAAAAGACACGTCATCTCCTTAGATTGAATTAGCACATACCAGGAGTGAGTTTTAGGCATGTTAGTTACAAAACTAACACAGTCTGTGATAACAACTTTCAATTTTGCCATTAGCTCAGGACACTAATGAATCAAGCTGAAGATTCTAAAAGATAGCCAAAGGATTTAGATCACGACAACTCTGGATTAGAATTGAGAATTATTTCAGAGACAAAATGCTGGAAAAGAAATGACTGCAATCTCATTGTAATTCTTACTACATAACTTTTCATCTGTATGAAGAAGAATGAATTCAAAAATTGACATCTATACCTCTCTGTTGCTTCCACTTTAAGCAGATGTAATCAGCTTTTGGAATAAAGAACGTGTCTAAGCAATTGCATTGATGTGAGTTGTGTGTAATATTTTTCATAGTATTGATAATTAATCCCTGCTAGACTCTTAGCCCAGATAATTGATTATACAGAGCAAAATTTCCAGAATAGTCACCTACAAAATTAAATTTTACTTAGAAAAGGATAGTAGTTCTATCCTTATTTACTTACATTTAGATACTTTGACCTCCTTCTTACCAGTTTACTGAAAATAAAAAGAAAATAAAACAAAAAAATGCATTTTCCTAAAGCATATACATATAGCCGTCCAAGAAAACCAGCAAGAAAAAGAGTATTTTAGATGGTTTTATTATTTATATGTCTTTACATACACTTTCCTTAAAATATAATTGCAACAGGGTGAAGTAAGTTCATTTTATGGATTAGAAAACATACAATAAAAATCTAAATAGTTAATGAGTTAGTGAGAGTAGTCTATCCTGTATAAGATTTGTTGACAGATGGTGAGCTAGAATGGGCTGCTGACATCTTCAAGAAGGAATAGATAATCTAAATCATTATATAACTACAAAATGGAATTCATAATTTAAAAGTTTGGGCAGATGGTTTCACTGCAAAATTCTATCAGAAACTACTTGTTTTTGAGACTTATAAACCTATATTAATGACAACAAGGTGATATTGGTATAAAGATAGAGAAATAGATCAAAAGAATTGAGAATTAGACACACAATATGAACAAATGATTATTTGCAGTGGTGCAGAGTTGTTCTGGCTCTCTAGTGCTGCCTTAACAGAAGATACCACAAATGGGTGGTTTAATGAAAAGGAATTTATTCTCTTACAGTTTTGGAGGCTAGAAGTCCAAGTTCAAAGTGCCAAGCTCTAGGGGCTGGGTGGAAGGCCTCTTGACCTTGGGCATCAGGTCTGCCTCTTGCTCCCGGGCCACTGGAGCCGGAAGCATCTCTTCACTCAGGCAGCTCGTGGCTGCTGAGACTGACAAACCCAAGGTGAACAAATAAAATTGCACAGCCCCAAGACTATCAAACAATATAGCAGGCCATCAGTTCAAGTCTAGAGATAGTTCCAAGATTGGCAGGAAACATGGCAGGCTGCTGACTGAATACTTGGCCACATGTAGGATGAAAAAAAAAAAAAACCGTAGAGACATTTATCACAGCTTTTTCTTACATGCTGGAAGCAGATCACATCCCTAAGGCAGCTACTCAGCTGCTCCAGTAGATTCCACCATGGAGTTGATTACCAGTCTCATCATGGGAAATAAATACATCTAGGCGCCTAGCCACTCAAAACCAGGTCCAGCCAAGTTGAGATATAACCTTAATCACCATGAGAGTCAAATCAATGGAGAAAGTATGTCATTCCTAAGAACAAAACAGAACAAAAAACCCACTGCCCTTGAGTTGATTACAACTCAAAGTGACCATATAGGACAGAGTAGAACTGCTCCATGGGGTTTCTAAGGCTGCATATCTCTGTGGAAGCAGACTACCTCATCTTTCTCCTACAGAGTGGCCCATGGGTTTAAACCACCAAATTTTTGTTAGCAGCTAAATGTTTTAACCACTGTGCCACCAGAGCTCTTTCATTAGTCATTGTGGTGGTTATGTTTGTGTGTCAACTTGCTAGGCCTGGCTGAATGGCTGGGCAGCTAGTGGTAGTTATTCCCTATGATGAGATGGACAATCAACTTCATGGTGGGATCTACCACAAGCAGCTGAGTAGCTGCTTTGGGTATGTGGTTTGTTTCCCGTATATAAGAAGCAGCTTTGAGAATGCCCTCTGGCCTATGGCATGCTTGGACCCTGAATGTAGCCATGTTGTTGCTCAGCAGCCTGCTGTTCTTTGCCGACCTGGGAACTTACAATGGACTTAATGGCCTGCCGTGTGGTTTGGTAACATTGGGGCTGTGCCTTTTTACTTGTCAATCTTAGGGCTTCTCAGCCTCAGCAGCCAGGAGCTATCTGAGTGAAGAAATGCCTCTAGCTCCAGTGAGCCAGGAGCAGGAGGCAGAGCTGAACCCCAAGGTTGAGGGGCTTTCACCCAACCCCTAGAGACTGGCACTTTGAACTTGGACTTTTAGCCTCCTGAACTGTAAGGGTCATTAACCCACTGCCATCAAGTCCATTCTGACTTACAGCAACTACCTTTGAGTTTCCAAGGTTGTAAATCTTTATGGAAGTAGATTGTCTCATCTTCCTCCCATGCAACAATTGTTGGGTTTGAACTACTGACCTTCTGGTTAGCAGCCAAATCTCTTACCCATTACACCACCAGGGATCCTTCATTAGTCATTAGGAAAATACAAATTAAAATCACTATGAGATGCAGTTACATACATATTAATATGTCTAAATGTGAAAAATTGACTCTACAAAGTTTTGGCAAAAATGCGGAAGAACTGGATCCATCATACACTGCTGATGGGAACGCAAAATAGTACAACTGCTTTACAAACTGTTTTCCAAATTCTTAAAAGTTATATACTTACCATATGATCCAGCCTCTCCACTTTAATTTGCCAAAGAGAAAATAAAACATGCCTATTAAAGATTTGTATATGAATACCCATAGCAACTTTATTGTTATAGCCAAAATCTAGGGAAAAATGCAAATGTCCATTCACAGTTGACTTGATAAGCAAATCATGGTATATCCATTCAATGGCATACTGTCAGCAATTTAAAAGAATGCAATTAAAAGGAACTATTGAGAATCATGGGAGATCTGGTAGCATAGTGCCTAAAGCACTTGACTGCTAACCAGAAGGCTGGTGGTTCAAACCCACCAGTCACTCCTCGGAAGGAAGTTTGGGCAATCTACTTCCGTAGTGATACTGCCTCGGAAACCCAAGGACGGGTCACTATGAGTCGGGGCTGACTTGACGGCACATAACAACAACAGCAACACTGGGAATCATAAGAAGGGGGAGTAAAGATGGCATCCTGCTAGCAAAATCTGCCAATTCCCTCATCAACAAAATCTCAAAATCTAAGTGAACAGATACAAATAATGTTTCTGGAATTCTGAGAATCAAATGAAAAGTTAAAGATTAGATTGAGCACTGATTGGAACAGGAAATGGACCAAGATTAGTGATCAGGGAGAGAAAAGAGGCAGAACCATCAGAAGTGGAAACATCATGAATAGAAATGCAGACACTGTTGAGGCGAAAAGAAAAAAAGAACTTCATGGAAACCACACATTGACAATGACACTGTAGACTGATCAGAAGGAATTCAAGGAGGTGGATGTTAACGTTCCACTAATCAGCCATTTCTACTGTACCAACACTTCAACCAATGGATGAGCACGACTATCAACTCCTACACCACTGAATCAACAGAGGGTGGACAACACCTGTTCATCCCAACTGCAGCTCTTCTTCATGTCAAGCAGAGACCTGCACCTATATTCCCATCAATTACTCCACCAAGCAGTAGATAGCTGGGGAGCCTCTCAATGCTTCCAAGTTAACCACCAAAGGAGCACTACTACTCTACTCATTCAGATATAATGAAACAAACCAACACACAATCAACAAATAAAAATAACAACTTCAAAATGTCTTAGAGACTACAGACAACTTCATTCAAAGAAACAGCACAAGATAGTAGAAGCAAGTAACCAAAATAAAGAACTAAGAAATCTCCCTGAGGAAGAACAGATAATAGAACTACCTGACAATGACTTTATATATATATACACACACACACACACACACACACACACACATTGATCTTCCCAGGGCTCAAGGAAACCATAAACAGAAGCATTGAAGAGACTGACAATACTCTTGAAGAATTCAGGAAAATCATTCAAGAACAAAGTGACAAAATAGACTATTAAAAATCATACAGAAACAACAAATGGATATGCAGAAGAAGAACACAATAATTATGTAGATTGGTAACACATTGGAAGAACAAAATAGTAGAATTGAATTGGCTGAAGAATGCATATCCCAGCTAGAAGACAAATCCCTTGACATCAGCTTGTATGAGGAAAAATCAGATAAAAGAACCAACAGAAATGAAGCAAACTTAAAGTTATTTGGGATGATGAACAAAAGAGACAACATATGCCTAATTAGAATCTCAGAACAAAAGAAAGTAAAACAAATCACTGAGAAAATCATTGAAGACTAGTTAACAGAAAGCTTCCCCAATATTATGAAAGACAAAAAGATATCCATCCAGAAGCTCAACGTATCTTATATAGGATAGAACAAAAGAGAAAGTCACAAAGACAAATCATAATCAAACTCAAAAACCAAGGACAAAGAAAGAATCTTGAGAGCAGCTAGAAAAAAAAGAGAATTTACCTACAAAAGGCAACCAATAAGACTAAGCTCTGATTTCTCAGCAGAAACCAAATAGGCAAGAAAACCTAGTTGAGTGGCTGGGCAGCTGGTGGGAGTTATTCCCCATGATGAGACTGGCAATCAACTCCATAGTGGGATCTACCACAAGCAGCTGTTTTAGGGATGTGGTCTGCTTCCCATATGTAAGAAGCAGCATTGGGAATGGTCTCTAGTTTATGGCACGCTTGAACTTTGCCTGGAGCCAAGTCATTGTTCAGCAGCATGCCATGCTCTGCTGAC